ATAATAGGCATCCAAATTGGAAAAGAAGTACAACTGTCATTATTTGCATATGACATGATACTGTACATAGAAAACCCTAAAGACTCCATCAAAACTTATTAGACTTAATAAATGAATTCGGCAATGTAGCAGGATCCAAAAGTAATGCCAAGAAATCTATGGCATTTCTATGCACCAATAGTGAACTTACAGAAAGAGAGGCTGGTGCAGGAAAAGTCAAACAAGGCCGAACAGTGTGGGCAATTTGCAGCTAAGTTTGTAAATGGCAAGCCCTTATCTTCCCAGCCAAGGACACTTGAGCGCAAATGGTGAAAGCCTCCCTCCCCAAAGAATGCAGAAAAGGAGGGAGGAGGACAAAGGTGGGGGGGGGGGGAGCAGTTTTACTCCCTAAGCAGAGAAGCCAGCAGTCTCAAGGCTTGGCAAGACAAAGTTGCCAGGCGCCTCAACTGAGTCCTGGGAAAGCCACAACCAAGTAAAAAGGGACCGTGAGAACGAATCTGCACCAAAATATTTAGCAGAGACGTTTTTGAAATTGATAGACAGAAGAGTCCATAACGCCTCAAATCTCCAGCCCACTTGCTCTTCAAATGAGTTGACAGGCCATCTGTGCTTATTTCATAAGCCAGATGTATAGATGTGCTTGTCTTGCTTCTTTAGTAAAAGTACGTGCTTTAATTGCTTTCATAAAATCAGCTTCATCACAATGTGATAACTGGGGTTTTCTCATCTAGATTCATTTATTTGAGAAAAGAATACCGGTTAGGAATAGCCCTCTTCCTCCAACTCAGGGGGCTGTGTGGTGTCTGTGAGAGGTGCCGCTAACACCTATATGCCTATGAAAGCCAGGGGGACCCACTTATTCCTGCCAACCTCAGCTTCAGGAATCCTCACCGTGACTCCTGAGGTACATCATGCTCTGTCTTCAAGTACCCCTGTAGCCTGCCTCCATGCCAGAGGAGGAGAAAGTCCCTACCATTCCTGACCCTTACCCCTTGGTCTTCCCAGCAGGCCTGGATATATAATTTTGGGACTCTGTGCAAAATGAAAACACAGGGCCCCTTGATTTAAAATTATGAAGACTCCGCCGAAACCGGTTTGACTCAGTGGATAGAGCGTCGGCCTGCGGACTGAAAGGTCCTGGGTTCAATTCCAGTCAAGGGCATGTACCTTGGTTGTGGGCATATCCCCAGTAGGGGGTGTGCAAGAGGCAGCTGATTAATGACTCTCATCGATGTTTCTAACTATCTATCTCTCTCCCTTCCTCTCTGTACAAAATCAATAAAATATATTTTTTAAAAATAAAATAAAATTATGAAGACTCTGCTGAAACCGGTTTGGCTCAGTGGATAGAGTGTCGGCCTGCAGACTGAAAGGTCCCGGGTTCGATTCCAGCCAAGGGTATGTACCCTTGCAAGCACATCCCCAGTGGGGGGTGGGGGTGGTGCAGGAGGCTGCTGATCAATGTTTCCCTCTCATCCATGTTTCTAGCTTTCTATCCCTCTCTCTTCCCCTCTGTAAAAAAACTCAATAAAATATATATTTTTTTAAATAAAATAAAATAAATAAAATTATGAAGAATCTCAAGAGAGGACCAGCAAAGCATTACACCAAGCACAGCTCTGTGCAACTACAGGGGTCACCCGCTCATGAAGCCACCCTGCTTCCCAGTCTCCAAAAAGCCAGCTACCCTTTTGCGCTCGGCCAAATCCATCAAAATCCCCCCCTCCACTCCCTGTTCCCCTAGGATTGTGAACGAAAATAGAAGCTCTTACCTCCTTTTGGGGCCTGGAGACTAGAACTCAGAAAGCAGGGCCGGCCGGGCTGGCTGTAATGGATGCAAGAAGAAGATTGTCTTCGCAGTTAATTTTTTTGCTGCGTCACAGCATAAAAACAGGATAAAATACAAAACCGCATACAAATTAACAAAAAGATGATTTAAAAGCAAACATGTCTAGGTGTTCCCCGAATGCTGGAAAACGTTAGTGGGGATCTAGCTGGGAAGAACAAAGAAAGAAACAATATAACAAAAGAAAGAGCGGGCTCCTACCAAAATATCACATTACTTTTCAGTCTCTGTGCAATTTAAATGACTTTTTTTTTAATTCTTAAATATTTGTCTGCCCTGGCCAGTGTGGCTGCTGGTTGAGTTGTCCTCCATGCACTGAAGGGTGGCCGATTCCATTCCTGTCAGGACACAATCCTAGGTTTTGGGTTCCATCCTTGATCGGGGTGCATATAGGAGACAGCCATATGTTCTTTCTCTCTCGCGTTGATATATCTTACTCTCCCCCTCTCCCTTCCTCTCTCTAGTCAATTTTAAAAAGTCCTTAAATGAGCTGTGGAATAGTAAAGTAACTGACCAAATTCTTCTGGATTATTTTTTTAAACTGTCACAGAAGAAAATCTCGGTGTTGTTATAACCCTTACAAGATACCCACTCTAAAGAAAACCAACGAAGTTTTAATTTTTCCACCTAAGTAATTATTTCTACCTTTAATATGTCATGTCAAGCTGAGTTTTGTTTCTGGTAGGCAACAGAATTATATATTTCTGCTTTCAGAATAAGTAAGAGCAGATCTGTTCCCCACAAAATTTGCTATGAAGTTTTCAGAATTTCAAGCTTGCTGTTTGCAAAGTAAATAAAACGAAATACATATGATTTGAAAACATGTTTGAGTGAGTCTTTTAATATATTCAATCCTACTATTGTGTATAACTCACTTAAATAAAAGTAAACTTTTATCCCATGAGAATCATGAAAGTATAAACATGTATATGAAAAATGCTTAATTTTACCACTTATCTCATGAGGAAAATGTACAAGCAATATATATTTATATATATGAAAAATGCCTGATTTTACTAATGATCTTAAAATGTACATTTTTTGTACACTTTTTCCAACTTTTTCCTATTTTCCCACCACCCACCCAGCCCCTCGAAACCACTTTTCTACTCTCTGTTTCTATGGGTTTGACTTTTTCGTTTTAGATTCCACATATATGATACCATGCAGCATTTGTCTGTCTCTGTCTGGCTTACTTCACTTACTATAATGCTCTCAAGATCTATCCATGTTGTCACAAATGACAGGATTTCCCTCTTTATTGGGCTAAATAGTATTCCATTGTATATATTTACATCTTCTTTACCCATTCATTCGCTGGTAGAAATTTAGGTTGCTTCCAAACCTCCCCTATTGTAATGCAGCAATGAATATGGAGGTACAGATATCTATTCAATATCCTGTTTCTATTTCTTTTGGATTAAATACCCAGAAGGGCGCCGAAACCGGTGTGGCTCAGTGGTAGAGTGTAGGTCTGCGGTCCCGGGTTCGATTCCGGTCAAGGGCATGTACATTGGTTGTGGGCACATCCCCGGTAGGGGGCGTGCAAGAGGCAACTGGTCGATGTTTCTCTCTCATTGACGTTTCTAGCTCTCTCTCTCCCTTCCTCTCTGTAAAAAATCAATAAAACAATTTTTTTAATATAAATAAATACCCAGAAGCGGGATTGCTATAGCATGTGGTAGTTCTGTTTTTAATTTTTTGAGTAATCACAGTGTTTTACATAGTGGCTGCACCAATTTACATGCCTACCAACAGTGCATGCACTGTTAATCTCTTTTCTTTTTCACAAAAGCCATTTTTACAGGTACGAGGTGATATCTCATTGTGGTTTTGATTTGCACTTCTGTGATAACTAGTGATGTTGAGTATCTTTTCATCTACCTGATGGCCATTTGCATGTCTTTTTAAAAAGTACATTAAAACAATTTATCCATCCCCAGTAGGGAATGTGCAAGAGGCATCTGATTGATGTTTCTCTCTCCTCGATGTTTCTAACTCTCTATCCCTCTCTCTTCCTCTCTGTAAAAAATCAATAAAATATATTTTTAAAAATTTATCCCAAATATTGACACAGAGACATATTTACAGCACAGCTTTGTGTAAATGTTCCTTCCCCCTTTACCCTCTTACTGCTGGTCTGAATTTTTGACATTTTTATAATGAATGTGTTTTGCTTTTGTTTATTTTTTTATTATTATTAAAAATAAACCTATTACTCTCCCTTGTGGGGGGGGAAATAAAAAATAAAAATAAAAAATAAAACAATTTATCCAAACTTTCATGATCTAATAATTGCCAGCTAAGAGATTCTAGAGATATAAATGCAAGAAAAATATAGTCCCTGCTTTTGAGAATCTTAGAGTCTACAAAAAGAGAAACAGTCATGTTCACAAGTGAATACTAACGTTATGTAGATACCAAATTAGAAATCTGTATATTGTTCTACAGATTCCAAAGAAGGAAAGGTTCCAAAATCTACCCAATGAACAGGATGGGCTTTCTTTTATTTTTTTTTTCTATACATTTTTATTTTTTGAAGGGAGAGGGAGAGAGAGAAACATCAACGGTGAGAGAGAATCATTGATCGGCTGCCTCCTGCGCGCCACACACGGTGGATCCAGCCCGCAACCCCTTACCTCGGGAATCAAACCGAAGGCAACGGTGACCGCTAGTTCATATTAATAGATCCATGCTCAACCCCTGAGCCGGGCCAGCTGGGCGAGAATGGGCTTGCTTGCTTTCTTTCTTTCTTTCTTTCTTTCTTTCTTTCTTTCTTTTTCTAAAATATATTTTATTGATTTTTTACAGAGAGGAGGAGAGAGGGATAGAGAGCTAGAAACATTGGTGAGAGAGTAACATCGACCAGCTGCCTCTTGCACACCCACCACTGGGGATGTGCCCGCAACCAAGGTACATGCCCCTGATCAGAATCGAACCCGGGACCCCCCAGTCCGCAGACCGACGCTCTATCCACTAAGCCAAACCAGTTTCAGCTTGCTTTCTTTTTTCTATTTTATTTTTTTTTTCCATGTAGGAGGTTTTATCAAAGAGAAGACCACTTCGTCTTCCCCGATGACAAATGCCTTGCTTTGCTTTGTGAGGCAGCGTGCAACCCCAAACCACGGGCAGGCTGGGGGTCTGTGCGGGCCTCAGAAATATGGACTCCTTCCCGAATTTGCGTGTCACCCTCGTGCAGGGGCCATGCTAATCTCCTCCGTGTCGTTCCCATGTTAGTGTATATGCTGCCGAAGCGAGCGCGAAAATGGGCTCTTACGGACATACACCCTTTTCTCTTAAAAGATATTCAAAAGTCAATGTTAGATTAGTCTGTGGGGCTCAGAGTGGGTGACTGTACCACAGTTAAACCGGCAGAAGCAAAGACGTAGGGTAAGATATAGTAAAGCGCGTTCAGATAATTCTATAAAGTTCATTTGCCCGGGATTGAGGTAGAGGAGAGAAACAGAGTGAGATCCTTCGAACAGGTGGTCAAATGGCAGAGCAGATAACTCTAAACTTGATCTCACAGGGACTCTAAAAGTCAGACTGGCTATTAAGGTCAATGTGCGCCATTAATTCCCTTCTCCGCATCTCTGCCTTGAGTAGTCCCGTCCCCCTCTGACTCCGGGCTCGGCCTCCTGGCTTGCTTTGGAAAATGGCACACTTACAAATATGAAACTTGAAAAGTGTCCGCAATTTGGAAAAGTCCAAGCCTCGCCCCTCATTTCGCTGCCCCACCGTCTGGCCCCACCATCCCACCACCTGCCCACTCACTACTTACCGGCAAATCCGCCCAGCTCCGCTCCTGCGGCCACCACGTCTGCTCCCTCCGACGTCGTCAGCCGCTATGAGCCCGGGCTTTTGGGGCTCAACCGTTAGAGCTTTAGAGGTCAGCCCGCCCACCAAAAGTTAAATGTTTCATTCCGGGTCAACTATACATCCGTTACAGGCGAGATCCCATCCCCCACGTGAGGAATGGGCGGGAAGGCGGCAACCAACCAGTGTCTTCCTCTCTCCTTCTCTCTCTCTCTCTCTCTCTCTCTCTCAAAACCAATGGGAAATGATATCCTCTGGTGAGGTTTAACAGAAAACAAAAAGAGAAAGTCGTTCCACAGCCCTGTCTGGTGCTAGGCAGATTTATATTTGAAACAATTCTGTCTGCGCACTGCTCAACATGAGCCCCAGCCTACGGACATATCTTCAGAGAGAACCAATCCCTGCAGACCCCACAAAAAGCCTGTTCTTTTTTGTAACAATATGAATCTTTGAGGCCTTCTAAACCTCTTCTCCTGAGCTGCTGCAGAGAGCTCAATTTGAAGCCTGTGCAAAAAGCTGACCCTATAACATGCGCCATACTACACAAGCTTCTGCTTTTGTCAGCCCTTAACATCTACCTCTCTGAAATGTTCATGAATTTCTATTTCACAAGGATAATGATTTTATATACCCTGGCATCAGCATACAAATAAAATACCCAGTATTAAAAAGAAAAAAAGAAGCCCTGGCTGGTTTGGCTCAGTGGATGAAGCGCCGGCCTCTGGACTGAGGGGTCCCGGGTTCCATTCCGGTCAGGGGAAGTACCTTGGTTGCAGGCACATCCCCAGTAGGGGGCGTGCAGGAGGCAGCTGATTGATGTTTCTCTCCCATCGGTGTTTCTGACTCTCTATCCCTCTCTCTTCCTCTCTGTAAAAAAATAAAATAAAATAAAATAAAATAAAAATCAATAATTTTTTTTAAAGAAAAGGCCGGGACCGGTTTGGCTCAGTGGATAGAGCGTCGGCCTGCGGACTGAAAGGTCCCGGGTTCGATTCCGGTCAGGGGCACGTACCTTGGTTGCCGGCACATCCCCTGTGGGGGTGTGCAAGAGGCGGCTGGTGGATGTTTCTCTCTCATCGACATTTCTGACTCTCTGTCCCTCTCAATTCCTCTCTCTGTAAAATCAATAAAATATATTTAGAAAGAAAGAAAGAAAGAAAGAAAGAAAGAAAGAAAGAAAGAAAGAAAGAAAGAAAGATAGAAAGAAAGATAGAAAGAAAGAAAGAAAAGGAAAAGTGTTGGCACTTTGGAGCTCTTCCTGGGAATCATGCAGCCATCATTATGTGATTGAGTCCAGGTTAACCTGTTGGAAATACATAACCCGTTACCCCGATTGCCTTAGCCAACACCAGCACTCACTCGACATGTGAGTAATACCATATTAGACCAATAGTTTCTCTTAATACATACTCATTATGGGAAATCAGAAGATAAAAAGAAGCATGTCACTTACAGTTAGTTATACTACCTAAATATAGCCATTATAACCTTTTTAAAGGATCTCTATTTCCAATCTTTTTCTCTGAACAGATTTCTCTTCTATAAGGTGATAATAATTTTGTATGGAAAATTTTGCACTGTGCTTTTTATTTTATTTTATTTTTTAAATATATTTTATTGCTTTCAGAGAGGAAGAAAGAGGGGAAATGTGATGTGGAAGGGAAAAGGGAGAGGGAGATGGAAATAACAATGATGAGAAAGAATCATTGATTGGCTGCCTCCTGAATGCCCCCTACTGGGGATCCCAAAATCCCAGCATGTGCCCTTGACCAGAATCGAGCCTGGCGGACCACTCAGTCCACAGGCCAACGTTCTATCCATTGAACCAAACCAGCTGGGTCTGTGCTTTTTCAATTGCATTTTTAAAGTAGGACTTTTTTCATTTTTACTCTTCAAAACTACCATCTTTAATAGCTGGATAACAGTCCATCTAATGAATGAACCACAATTTAACTGTTGTTGAGCAATTAAGTATATACCACAATGAACCTACAAAAACATAAAGCTCTTTTCCTATTTCAGATTCTTTCCTTAGAATATTCACATTAACTAATTGGATCAAAGGATATGAATATTTTTAGAGCCAATACACTTTGACAACTATTACAAAGGATTTCATACTAATTTACACATCCATCAACATATTCTGAGTATCCATTTCACCAAAGCCTCAAAGTCCCAATGCAGTTTTTGTTGTTCATTTTGTTTTGTTTTCCATCTTTGTTATTTGGGTGAGAAATAAATTCTGGATTCCATTTTTTTAATTTTTTTATTTCTTTTTTATTTCAGGGAGGAAGGGAGAGGGAGATGAGCTACAAAATCAATGATGAGAATCATTGATCAGCTGCCTCCTGCACGCCCCCTACTGGGGATTGATCCTGCAACCCGGGCATGTGCCCTTGACCAGAATTGAACCCAGGACCCTTCAGTCCACAGGCCATCACTCTATCCACTGAGCCAAACCAGCTAGGGCCTGGTTTCCATTTCAATTATTTCTTCAATAATTAATAAGATTGAAGAGTCGGAAAGGCATTTCTTGGTGCCTATCACAGCACTGGATTAATAGATTTCTCAAAGTAACTTTCTTCTTATAATCTTGCTTGCAAATTTCTATAAAGAAAACTATCCAGAGTAGCTATCTGAATCCGTGTTTGCACAGCAACTTACAAATACTGAGAGCATGTCAGTTGTCCATATTTAAAAATGGGTCTTTCTATATGAGGATTGGTAGTGGGAAGCCTTAAATTCCCCCCATGCTACCTGTTGGTATTGTTAAAGACAAGACGGGGCTAAATAGCAGGCCAGTGTGGCTTAGTGATTGAGCTTTGACCTATGAACCAGGAGGTCACAGTTCGATTCCCAGTTCCCAGTTGGGGCATATGCCTGGGTTGTGGGTTTGATCCGCAGCATGGGGCGTGCAGGAAGCATGTTTCTGTCTCTCTATACCTCTCCCTTCCTCTTTGAAATCAATATAAATAAGTTTTTAAAAACGACTACTGCAATAGAGAAAGGAGACCTCATATTGAATGGGGCTTGGTTCTGTGTGCAGCATGGGTAAGTGGGAATCTATAGCTAAGGAGTAGGGTGGGATTGGGGGAGATGGCAGTGGTCTGGAAATTACTAAGAGGAAACATCAGGGGTAAGGAAGATTCTGGTTAAACTGACCTAACTGGATTCCTTGCTGAAGAAAAGCCAGGGTGATCAGACATCCTAAGTCTTAGGAGATGGTGAAGGATGTGTTCCGGAAGCCGGTCATTGTTTTAATAACAGAGAGCTGTGGGCAGGGATTCGGAGGGCTGGTCAACCTTAATTGCAAGGGTCAGAGCTAATTACTAGATATTGGTAATTGAAGCAGCCCACACCTGTTAGTCCTAAATTCACTGATTGGCTTTTATTGGAGTTTCCTGCCTAGGGGATATGGGTGTATCCTATAATTTTAAGATTAATGAAAGGGATGGAAAAGTCAGAGCGAGAGTAGTCCTCCCACTAGTGTTGGACTCCTGCCTGGCCCCCAATATTCCCAAATTAATGCTTTTCTAGTCTCTCTTCATTTGTGTGCGGCCTTCTCCAGAACCCGAACCCTGAACCGGAACCCCGAACCACTCGGGATGTGAAAGGGGTTCCCACAGATGTGGGACCTAGATATTGAGAGGGATTGGATGTGGAGGATAGGAGATTCTGGCTAATCTGATTTAGCAAGGTTCTTGCTAACACTGCATTTTACAAAGAAGTGCACAGATGGGCTGAGAAAATGGTTCAGGAGCCTGATTCAATTTTGATTGAGCAAAGAATCCTTGTCAGCATCACCAGGGAATTCACACAATATTGCTGTAATTTACAGGCGAGTACCCTAAGCCTTGGAGATTTTAAGAAACTTGCTCGAGTCCCATCGATATATAAACATTATAGAATGTAAATAGAATATCAGGGTAGGGTGGATGGGATTCCTCAGTTCACAGAACAAAGCTAAAACGAAGTAATAAAAAGAATAACATGTCATTATAAGATCTTTCTTATATATCTCAGATACAACCACTTCTCACATCTCTACTGCTGCCAGCCCAGTCCAAACCACAATCATCTCACCAACACTACCAAGGTAGTTGGTTAACTAGATCGCCTGATCCCACCCATGCTCCTCTGTAGTTCCACATATCTCCTGAATATTTTAGCAACCTTCGTGTTTCCTTTTATTTTATTTTTTAAATATCTTTACTGATTTCAGAGAGGAAGGAAGAGGGAGAGAGAGATAGGAATATCAATGATGAGAGAGAATCACTGATCAGCTACCTCCCACACATACACACACCCACTGGAGATCAAGCCCACAACCTAGGCATGTGCCCCAGGCAGGAATCGAATCATGACCTCCTGGCTCACAGGTCAATGCTCAACCACTGAGCCACACCAGCTGGGCCATATTCCTTTTATACGCTTGTCAGACA